TGCGTCCGAAACCGCCTACTACTCAGTAGGTGCTGCATTTGAATTTAAACGTACTACTCGGCCGTTAGAAAAGTACGTTCTATACAGTATGAAAGTGAAAAGTATGAATGGAATTCGGACGTACTACATCCGCCATTTTTTCATTGTCACGTGACCTACCTGCGTCAATTGTGTCGCTTTACTCCCATTCATGAATTCGCTCGCGGGGCATCATGGAATAGCGCAGCATGCATGCGATGCGCACTCCAGAATCTCGCCGGAAGTAGTAAGTCATCCGGGTACTTCTCGCATACTGATTTTCGAATTCTATGAATTCGGACATACTACTCGGCTCGCATACTGATTTAAGCGTCTTATATAGTATGGAAGTATGCGGTTTCGGACGCAGCCTAGGTCTTCTGAGAAAGTTTGCTCAGGCGAATGAAGCGAACGGGAGGTAGCGAAAACTACAATTCCCATCAGCCCAGGCATGGCCATTATCCTTTGCGGTCTGTTGTCACTACAGATCCAGTAATGCGGAAATGGAGTGTGCTGCTGGTAGCGGGGATGAAAAAGAGCTGGAAATTATCGAACCTAAAGCGGGTTTTAAATCGGATGTGTGGAAGCATTTCGGTCTCTCTGGGGGTGTTGTTGTCGCCGCGCGCGTACTGAATAGCGGTGTTGTCGCGTCAGGCTGGACGGAGGGTGTGTCGCGTCGCGGGGGCACTTTTGATCATTTTGGAAGGGCATTTTCTATCCAAGACTAAAAAAAGGCATGTGCACTGCACAGGTTGAGCCCTATGTGTGCACTGCAAGTTGGGGAATACGACTAATAACAGTCATGGGGACTGCAGAAACACAGCACACTGTTCAGATTGATGCAGACAATGACTTGTACCGCAAAGAGACCTCTATCTGACTCATGGCTTGTCCTCTCAAGTGGGGGAAAGACAATGCACAACGTTACCCACTGCTGTCAACCTGGGCCAAGGAATATCTCTATCCCAGAAACCTCAGTCCCAAATGAGAGGGTTTTTTTCTGTTGCAGGGGACATTGTAAATGCCCAGAGATCCCAGCTTTTACCAGATTATATTTATATGATAATTTTCCTTAAAAAACCCATCTCTATCTAAGTGAGTGAGTGATTAAATGTTAAATGTGATGAGTTTTCAACAATACTAAATTGAAACTTAATTTTTTTACATGGTTTAATAATTTTTTGTTATTAAAATTGAAAAATTAAAGTTCCTGTTTCAAAGCTTACAGATAGATGGCTAATTTGTATATCATTGACACTTTTGGCACTTTTTTGGGGTATTTTCATTAGTTTTGTTTTTCCTGTAAATGATCAATAAATACCGTACCGTGCTATTCATACCGAGGTATTATCGTACCATGAAATTCTGATACCGTTACATCCCTACTACAGTGTAAACACAGCACCTACAGAACGCTAACCCAGATAGTCATGAGGTGTGAAAACATCCGTGACAAGACTACTTTGAAAATCCTCTGCATAACAAAACAAAGATATTTTCACAGTATTTCTTATTATATTTTTATATGACACTTTGAAGCTACATACTAATATCTTAAAAAATTAAATAACTAGTAAAATATTATAAATAAAAATTTAATTATCAGGATTAACTAAACCTATTATGAGTAAAACGTGTTGACATATTTTCCTCTACTTTGAACAGTTTGAAAATATTTGAAAAATCATAAATATTTCCCGTTAGGGCTAATTACTTTGACTTTAACTGTATAAAAAACAGAGTAATGTGCAGAAGTCAAAGCTAGTGTTGATTAAAGACTTTCACACCGTCTATAAAATATCTAGCAATCAAGTTAGAGCAGTAATTATTGTCAAGTAGTGCGAAAACAAACGCATGCCTCTGTCTCCATATTGGATATGTGTGCGGTCTGAACACAGTGCATGTTTGTCCCATTACTCTCTAGCTGAGCAAAATCAGTTATGACGGTAATGAGATTTTGAGTTTTTTGTCCGAGCGGCTGAGGGAACGGGAGAAATGGAGGATGCCGTGAACCGTCAGCTTCTCCTGACAATGAAAAACATTCCCTCCTGCGGCGCTCAGGCTGGAGTGTGAGGGGCATATCAGCATCAATAATCTTTCATCAAGTCAAAAGCACTGGGCTGCAGCCGCCAACCACTCAATAGAGGAGTGAGTGTGAGCCATCAGTCGCCGACAGACAGAGATGGAGCAGATCCAAAGGGCCATCTTCCCTTTACACGAGCACCTTTGTAGGCCAGATGTTACATCTTTGTTCTGCCTTTGCACTGAGGGAGAAACGGACACGCTTTTGAGAAACAGCAGCTCGATCCATGTAAACAAATGGACATTAAAACCGGCTTGAACATTAAGTGTTTTTCACTTTTCGGCAAATGTACTATCAGCTGATTGAAAGCATTGGGGGAGTGATGTATATATCAGCTGACAAAAGTACTTTTAAAAATCATATATATATATATATATATATATATATATATATATATATATATATATATATATGTGTGTGTGTGTGTGTGTGTGTGTGTGTGTGTCTGTGTGTGTGTATATAATTGAAGTCAGAATTATTAGCCCCCTTCGAATTTTTTTCTTCTTTTTTAAATATTTTTCCAAATTATGTTTAACAGAGCAAGGACATTTTCACAGTACGATTGATACTATTTTTTCTTCTCAAGAAAGTCTTGTTTCATTTCGGCTAGAATAAAAGCCGTTTTGAATTTTTTATGAACTATTTTAGGGACAAAATTATTAGCCCCTTTAAGCTAGATTTTTTTCTCGATAATCTACAGAACAAACCACTGTCATACAACAATTTGCCTAATTCCCCTAACCTGCCTAGTCAACTTAATTAACCTAGTTAAGCCTTTAAATGTCACTTTAAACTGTATAATAGTGTCTTGAAAAATATCTAGTAAAATATTATTTACAGTCATCATGGTAAAGATGAAATAAGTCAGTTATCAGAAATGAGTTATTAAAATTATTATGTTTAGAAATGCGTTGAAAAAATCTTCTCTCCGTTAAACAGAAATTGGGGAAAAAATAAACAAGCGGTCTAATAATTTAGGGGGGCTAATAATTCTGACTTCAACTGTATATATATATATATATATATATATATATATATATATATATATATATATATATATATATATATATATATATATACATACATACATACATACACACACACACACATATATTTATATTATTAACCATGTCCAGACTGTAAAGCCTGTAACTCTTGACTTCCATATTATGTGTTTTTCCCATCACGGAAGTCGATGGTTACAGGTTACGAGTTTTCTTCAAAATAACTTCTTTTGTGGTCAACAACAAAAATAGGTTTGGAAACAATTGAGGAAGAGCAAATGTTCATTTTTGGGTGAACTATCCCCTTTAACAAAGCAGGATTGCATTGAATTGATGCTGTATTAAGATGCAGTGCTGTCTGCTGAAGGTGCTGTCCGACTGAACTGATCCCCCGTGGAGTGATGGATTCACCCCCCTGAGTGATGGATAGATGTCAGATCAGTGGGCCCCGGGGCCGCGATCACACACTCTAATACTGCCCTTAATTGGCCCCACAAAAACACTCTATTCTCCAGGTCATTAAACAGATTGGGAAACACCTGGAGACATGGCAGGTGAGCAGACGCACACAATACAGCCTCATCTTCAAGCAGATCTAATGATGAGACAAGCACTGATCAGAGAACAGCCACTGGAGCACCAGCTTATCTGAAGATGAGGCCAGAGTCAGAGCGAAAGGACCACAGCTGATGTTTAAAGTCCAACAGTGCAAAATAAAATCCATAAAATAATGATAAAAGCTGGTTAGGAAAAGCAAACATTACTCAAACTGATCAGAAAAGCGGCTGTTTGGTTGGAATTTAGGTTTGCAATCCAAAAAAGAATTAAAGAACCTGGGTGTTATTTTCGATTGTGATCTTAATTTAAAATCTCAAATTAATCAAGTTACAAAAACTTGTTTTTGTCAATTTAGAAATATTGGCAAAATTCATTCTTTCCTATCTTTTGATGATGCCAAGAAATTAATTCATGCTTTTATTTTCTCTCGCCTTGATTATTGCAATGCTATTTATACTGGTTTACCTAAGGGTTCTATAATGAAGTTGCAACTGATACAAAATGCAGCAGCTAGAGTTTTAATGAAATTGAAGAAACAAGAGCACATCACACCCGTATTAATAGAATTACACTGGTTACCTGTGCACCAAAGAATAGATTTTAAGATTCTTTTATTGGTTTATAAAGCACTTCACAACATGACACCTTCCTACATTTCCGACTGTTTATCAAAATATAATCCAAACCGTTTGCTACGCTCTTTTAGCGCTGGGCTTTTACAATTTTACTCTGTAAACCTGATGCGATCTGTCGGCACTTCTTTTAGCCATTATGCTCCAAAAATTTGGAACTGTCTCCCTCTTAAAGTGAAAGAATCCCCTAGTATTCATGTTTTTAAAAGCGTGTTAAGACACATCTTTTTAAAATTGCGTTTGAATACACAAGCTTTTAAGGTGTATGCATTTTATTTATATTGTTTAGGTTTATGTGTGTATGTATGGTGTGTGCTTGCATATATAAGGACTATTGTGTGCGTGATCATGTGGATATATGCTTATATTTTGTGTACATGAATGCTTTTATCTGAGTATATGTGACAAGTTTATGTGGTCTGTTTTAATGCTTTTTTGTTGTTGTTTGTGAGGCACTTTGAGTTGCATGTATGTTGAAAAAGTGCAATACAAATAAAATGTATTATTATTATTATTATTATAAAATTAAGTAGTAGTACATCAAAAATGACCTTTGTGTTCAAGCTTAGGCCCTGTTTACATTGCCAGTTAAATGTAACCCAATTCCGATTTTTGGCTCATATGTGACACAGATCGGATCTGTTCTATGACCGTGTAAACACGGAAAAAACGCATGCGAAAAAAGCCTGTGTGTGTGAGACTGACCTGGTGCTGTCCACTCCAGGTTTGTTGTATCCATCCACACAGGCCTCCCAGACGCTGTTGGCCATTGCGTTCCCGATGGCCGTCATCACCATGCTGAGCTCCACAGGCCAGTCGTCCAGATCCAGAGAGCGCACGCGGGACAGATGAGTACCCAGGTTCCTGTGCATCCCGGAGCACTCGATGCAGATCAAAGCACCCAGATTCAGACTCGCCCAATCCGGATCTCAAGCAAAATAAAAAGGAACAATTGAACATTAAAAATATGACAATGTGTTGTATTAAATTAATACATGTATTTTAAATTATTCACTTTTTATTACTGTGGGTGAAAGTTTACTGTATTAGATTACATTTTGAATAAGATAGATATATTAAAATATGGGACTTCCGGTATAGCAATGAAGGAGTAAGGTGCGTGGAAGAAGGGCTCCCAATCTACTTTATTAAATTAAACCTGCTAAACGCTAAATATTTCCAGTTACTGTTAATTGATTTGTTTAGAACATTATCGCCCAAAATATGAGTAATTCTAAGCCGAAGCAAGCTCATCCTTCAGCTCCACCGACAACGAGATCTACCACGAGCATCGCTAGCAAGTTAGCAACCATGGCCGCCGCCGCCTCCAGTGCTGAAAAACAGGTCACGTCAGAAACTTTTGAATCCGTATCCATAGACCTGTTGATTTCTGAATTAACTAAACAGCGTGTTAGTATCAGGGAAGATTTCTCTGCCTTGATTCAGGAATCTATCGGGCCTTTACAAAGCTCCGTGAATGCGTTAAGAGAATCGGTTGAAGGATTTCAGAGCCGCCTGACTGCGACGGAGTGCCTAGCTGGGGAGAATTTTGAGAGGCTGACAGCAGCTGAAAATGCTATTAAAACTTTACAAACTCAGAACACATCTCTGCTTGATCGCATTGAGGATTTGGAAAACAGATCTCGAAGAGCTAACTTGAGGATCGTGAACATTCCGGAAGGTAGCGAAAACGGCAAAGACCCCGTTACTTTCGTTTCTGAGATGTTACTTGAGATGACGGGCACGGAGGTCTTCGACAACCCACCAACACTTGACAGAGCGCACCGTTCACCCGGCCAAAAACCAGCGGACGGCCGTAAACCACGTCCATTTTTGGTGTGTTTTCATCGATTTCAGGAAAAGGAGCGGTTGCTGCGCTGGGCAAAACGACACGAAATGAAATACAAGGGGAACATCATCAGAATCTACCAAGATCTCAGCGCTACCCTGTCAAAGAAACGCTCCTCTTACAACGGCATCAAGCAATCATTCTACCAGAAGGGCATACGTTTTCAATTGCTTTACCCGGCTCGACTGAGGGTGACTTTTAATGAAGAAACCTTAATATTCAATACACCGGATGAGGCGAAACAGTTCTACGACCAACGTATAAATGTTTAGAACACTTTTTTTTCCCTTGTTTTCTTTTTCACTCAATCACAGCTTACTGAGTTGACTCTTTTGAATTTTTTTTTTTTTTGCTTTTGCTTTTGCTCTAAACTAAACAGAAACTGATGCACTGATAACAGTGACTGCGTTGAGGAAAAAAAACATTATCCTTTATATTGGCGTTTTGACATTTTAGAATGTTTAATTATGTTGGGTTGCCCTCTAGAGGTTGAAACGGATATAAGTTAGATGGGAGATTACTGGGGGTTGGTTAATGGGGGCCTGCAATTTGTCTCCGTTCTTGAGGCAAATATAGGTAAAGTTCAGTGGGGTTGGGAGAATCACTGCCAAATATGTTTGTTTTTTCTCTTTTCTCCTTTTCCTTTTTTTTTCTTTTTTTTTTTCTCCTTTTACCTGCTTGTCATGTACTGGAGAGAGGGTCTTACTCTTTACAAAACAAAGGTTGATCAATGAGTGATACAAATAGGACTGGAGGGTCTTCTATCCGGTTTATTAGCTGGAACGTTAAAGGTTTGAACGGACCAAACAAAAGAGCTCGTATATTTGCTCATCTTAAAAAACTGAATACTGAAATAGCATTTCTGCAAGAAACGCATTTACAGCTAACAGACCATACGAGACTTAGAAAACCCTGGATTGGTCAGATCTTTCATTCCCAGTTCAACAGTAAAGCAAGAGGAACAGCGATTCTAATTCATAAGAAGGTGCAATTTCATGCTTCTAAATTTGTTTCAGACCCCCAAGGACGTTTTGTTATTGTGACGGGTCTTCTGTTTCATACCCCTGTTGCACTAGTATGTGTTTATGCCCCTAATTGGGATGATGTTAACTTTGTTCACAAAATAATTTCTTCTTTACCCGATTTAAACTCGTATCGTTTGATTTTTGGTGGAGATTTGAACTGTGTTATTAATCCAACACTAGATCGTTCAAATCCAAAAACAACATCCCAGACAAAAATGTCTTGCGCTCTATCATCCTTTATGACTCAAACAGGTTGTGTGGACCCATGGAGATTTTTATTTCCTCAAAAGAAAGAATTTTCTTATTTTTCCCCTGTTCACTCTTCATACTCAAGAATCGACTATTTTTTCTTAGATAAGACATTACTTCCCCATGTGGAAAAGACTCAGTATTCTTCGATTGTAATATCAGATCATGCACCACTGCTTCTTGATTTACGATTTACTCATCACTGTACCCAACGTCCTAATTGGAGATTAAATTCTAACCTATTAGCAGATAAAAAATTTTACAAACATATATCAATGGCCATAGATAACTTTTTACTTACAAATGATTCAGAAGAGACATCACCAATAGTCCTGTGGGAGACACTTAAAGTAGTCATCAGAGGTGAAATTATATCTTACTCTATATCTGTTAATAAATTAAAACATGCTAAACTACAACAACTAATAGAATCAATAGAAAAATTAGATCAACAACTTTCTATATCACCCACTGAAGAACTACTTAAAAAGAGAGTGGAACTCAAAGCAGAATTTGATCAGTTGTCAATCGAAAAAACCCAACAAAACTTGCTTTGGACTAAAGGGAATTTTTATGAACACGGGGAAAAAGCAAGCCGTTTATTATCTCACCAGATAAAAATTCAGTCAGCTTCCAGGTTAATCCCACAAATTCGTAATGCCTCACAACATCTGACAGTTGATCCTAAAGAAATTAATGATACCTTTAAAAAATATTATACCGACTTATACACTTCAGATTTTTTTGGAGATACATCAGGTATGTCATCTTTTTTTAATAACCTGAATATCCAGACAATTAACCCAAATCAAAAAGAAATGCTAGAACAACCAATTGATCTACAAGAAATCTTAGATTCTATTAATGGTATGCAAAACGGCAAAAGCCCTGGCCCTGACGGCTATTCAGTGGAATTTTATAAAGCTTTTGCCCCTAAATTAGCTCCACTTCTTCTAAAAATGTTTGAAAATTCTTTAATTAATTCAGAGTTACCAAGGTCTCTTACAGAAGCATTTATTACACTTATTCTGAAGCCAGGAAAAGACCCACTTGACTGCAGCTCCTACAGGCCAATATCACTGCTAAATGTCGATGTTAAAATTCTTGCGAAATTATTGGCCTCCAGAATTGACACCATCATACCAGAAATTGTATCACCAGATCAAACAGGCTTCATAAGGGGTCGTCACTCATTTACTAATTTAAGAAGACTTCTTGGTATTCTGTATTCTCCTGCGTCCAGGGAGGCCCCAGAGGTGGTGGTGTCCCTGGACGCAGAGAAGGCGTTTGATAGAGTGGAGTGGCACTATTTATTTACAGTTTTAAAAAAATTCGGTTTTGGATCAAAATTTATAGCCTGGGTCCAATTGCTATATTCTAATCCCAAAGTATCTGTTATTACAAATAAAATACGTTCCCAATTTTTTCCAATATTTAGAGGAACAAGGCAGGGCTGTCCTTTAAGCCCTCTTCTTTTTGCATTAGCAATCGAACCACTTTCTATTATGCTTAGATCCTCGCAGTCTATCCAGGGAATTGATCGAATGGGGTCGGAACACAGGGTCTCTTTATATGCAGACGACCTGTTGTTATACATTTCACATCCAGTTGAAAACGTCCCAAAGATAGTAAAAAATTTATCTGATTTTGGTAGTTTTTCAGGATATAAACTAAATCTTTCTAAAAGTGAATGCTTTCCAATCAATTCCCTTGCTTTACAAATTAATGTAACATCCCTTCCATTTAGGGTTTCTCAATCTGGATTTAAATATTTGGGAGTCCATATTACCCGCAGTTTTTCAGGTTTATATGCAAAAAATTTCTTACCACTATTAAGTAAAATTAAATTGGATCTTCAGAGATGGGACGCACTACAATTATCCTTAGCAGGCAGAGTGAACTGTATAAAAATGAATATCCTACCTCGATTCTTATACTTATTTCAATCCCTTCCAGTTTTTCTCCCAAAAGCTTTTTTCCATAAAATAAATACACCTATCTTATCATTCTTATGGAATGGGAAGAATCCCAGAACCAGTAAGGAGCTTCTTGAAAGACATAGATCCCAGGGAGGTTTAGCACTTCCTAATTTTATTAGTTACTACTGGGCCGCCAACCTCCAAAAAATTGTTAGTTGGTATAATACCCCAGAGGTTGATTGGTGTAAAGCTGAAGCAAATACTTGTATTTCTACATCACTTTCTTCATTAATAACAATGAAGTTACCATTTTCTCCGTCTAATTATTCCTCAAGCCCCGTTGTATGCTCTACACTCAAGATATGGTCCCAGTTTAGACAGAAGCATAAACTGACCGATTTTTCTATGCTAAACCCTTTATGTAATAACCACTTGTTTCCTCCCGGTAAGCTAGATTTCACATATGTTCAATGGCAGAAGGCAGGCCTGTCTAGATGTTGTGACTTCTATATAGACAACACCTTCGCTAATTTTAGTGACCTCTCCAAAAAATTTCAATTGGCACATTCCAATCTATTTCGTTATTTCCAGGTCCGACACTTTGTCCAAGCTCAGAGCTCAACTTTTCCTGATTTACCACCAGCCTCAATGCTGGATAAAATTCTACAATCTCCTACTGCTCTTAAAGGTCAAATTGCAGCATTATACATGATTATCATGTCTCCAAATGATGCTTTAATTGACCGAATTAGAGGAAAGTGGGCAAACGACATTGGAACTGAAATCCCTGATAATATATGGGAAGAGGCTCTGAGTAGAGTAAATGGATCCACTTCCTGCGCACGCCTCAATCTCATACAATTTAAAATTATTCATCGAGCCTACTACACAAAATGTAGACTCTCAAAAATATATCCTTCTATTGATGACGTGTGTGATCGTTGTAGAAGTGAAAAGGCAGACTTTTTTCATATGTTCTGGGCTTGTCAAAAGTTGAGTGACTATTGGACACAAATATTTAAAACATTAAATGACGCCTTTAATTTAGAAATAAAACCTAGTGTTGAGTTAGCTATCTTCGGGGTACCAGAACACAATATATTGTTGACAAACAAGGAAAAAAATGTATTCGCCTTCGCTACTTTGTTAGCAAGGAGAAGAATACTACTTGAGTGGAAATCAGCAGCTTCACCTAAAGCTTCAATGTGGATGTGTGATCTGATTTTATATTTGAAATTAGAGAAAATTAAGTATTTAATGAAGGGATCAGTCCAAAAATTTTATGAGACATGGCAACCTATGATTACATGTTTTGGGAAAAGGAAGACTCTCTCCTTTAACTGATTTATATAAATAAATCTGTGCAAACAGGTTTAACTGTGATCACCAATATGGTTTAGTTTGAAATGTATGTAAAGGACCACTATAAATGTAACAGAATATTGATTTGTATTGATTTGTATATACATGTACTGTAGGTAATTATTTATTTGAAAATTTTTTTTTAAGTTTATTTATTTATTTTTATTAATTTACTATTATTATTATTATATATATAATTTTTTTTATTTTTATTTATTTAATTATTTACTATTATTAACAATATTTTCAATTTTGCTATACTTTTATTTATTCCTGTTATAATTGTATTTTAATTTTATTTGTTTGCTAATTTATTTCGGCGGCAGTGTTCGAAAATGGGGGGAAAGTTACAACTTTAAATGTACAAAATGTTTTGTTAAAGCTTGAGAAAATCATCACAAATAAATGTTTAAAAAAAAAAAAGATATATTAAAATATATATATATATATATATATATATATATATATATATATATATATATATATATATATATATATATATATATATATATATATATACAGTTGAAGTCTGAATTATTAGCCCTCCTGAATTATTAGCGCCCCTGTTTATTTTTTTCACCAAATTCTGTTTAATAGAGGGAAGATTGTTTCAGCACATTTCTAGGCATAATAGTTTTAAAAACTTATTTCTAATAAATTATTTTTTTTATATTTGCCATGATGACAGTAAATAATATTTTACTTGATATTTTTCAAGACACTTCTATACAGCTTAAAGGACATTTAAAGGCTTAACTATGTTAATAAGGTGAACTAGGCAGGTTAGGGTAATTAGGCAAGTAATTGTATAATGATGGTTTGTTCTGTAGATTATCGAAAAAAATTACCTTAAAGGGGCTAATAATTTTGTCCCAAAAATGTTTTTTAAAAAATTAATAACTGCTTTTATTCTAGCCAAAATAAAACAAATAAGACTTTCTCCAGAAGAAAAAAATATTATCAGACATACTGTGAAAATTTCCTTGCTCTGTTAAAAATAATTTGGGAAATATTTAAAAAAATCAAATCAAATCAAAAGGGGGCTAATAATTCTGACCTCAGCTGTATGTATATATATATATATATATATATATATATACATACATACATACATACATATATATATATATATATGAGCAATATCACACAAGTAGCAGTGGGATGTGGCTGTGTATCAGCACTGGTGGGAGGCGTGCATAGATTTAGATATTTTTTTATATGCACACACAAAAACTAAAAATTAAAATGCTAAATAATGGAATTGATTTTCTGACATTGGCTCTTGTTCAATTGGCTGGGTTTACTCACTTTGACGTAATGTAAATAAGCTGAAAAAAAACAACAACAACAAAGCATTTAATAATTAATAAAGCAAAATAATTCAGTAATTTGATTTTCAAAAATTGTGGATCATTTTTCAGATAATATTTATAATTACTTACAATTAAATATTTAATAAAAGTACTTTGTATTTATATTTTTGCTATATTATTTTTGTAAAATAAAATGAATAACGTAAACAACCCAGCAGAAGGAGATTAAGAATTAATTAATAGGCTAATAAGTTACCATAAATGCTGTTGTATTATGTTTGTTCATTTATTTTTATTTAAATATTCTAAAATAGCAAATGCTCAGTATGACAGGCTAATGGCCACCGACGCGCTGTCTCTCAGAAATTATAAATATTTAAAAATAGGCACTATTCTTACAAATAAACTGCATAGCTGCAATCTAAAGAACTACATTCTCGAATAAAGCTTCAAAAGTACATTATGTTGCCCGACAGCAGCAATATTTGTCAAACTGTAGACTGTCCTCTGCTTGTTGCTGTATGTGGGCGAAGTAAATATAATATATAAATATAATATATATATATATATATATATATATTTCTCTCTGTTAAATATGTAATAATAAATATATAATAATAATTGTAATTATGTAATTATATAATGTAATCTATTTTACTTTTTAATATTCTTTATATTTTTAGAAGGTGAAAATAGAACTCCACCCCTGAATAAATCATAGAACTATACAGAATAAATCGCTGAAAAACAATTGTAAATTATTTTAAATAAAAATGTTTCTTTATGTTGCTTTGTCCACTTATGTGTATACATTTTAAATTAAGTGAAATGAACCAACAAAAATTCAACTAATGCTAGAAAAATATATTATTGTTATTATTCTTTATTTTTCATTATTTTATTTTAAAGTGTGCTAAAAAAGTAATCAGTGTTATAAATAATTTATTAGTATAATATTGCGACATTATTTTATATTTAGATTTTAGTATTCATTATAATTATTTGCATTTCAATTTTTTTTCAAGTACTTGTTTGTTTTATTTTTAAATAAATGTAGCTATTTACATTTTAAAACGTGCATGTTACAATCTTATTTCACACCTTCATTATTTAGTTTTTGTATTAGCCCATGCAACAAAAACCAAAACAAAATACATATTCAATCACAATAATTCATAAACCAAAATGAGTGTTATCACAATACAGTTGAAACATTTTATATCTCAAAAAATTTATATCTCATTTGCATAGAACTTTTAAAGAATAATGTTAGAAAGTTTCTGAAACGACTGAAATAAATAAAACAAAGCAAAAGTCTGAAATTAAATTTTTATTAAATTAATATAATTGTTTTGAATTATCTTTTTAAAATTCTAAAAACCAAAATACATTTTTTGTTGTTGTAGAACTTATTATTACTTTATTTTTACACCAACTTTACAACAACAGAAAGACTAATATCTGTGGTAAATGTCTAATAACACAAGTGTCAATAAGCTTGTGTGTGTGTGTGTGTAATTTGAACTCACTGGGAGCATCACAGTCTGCACAGAAGCTGTTTCCTCTGACGTTTCTGATGGATTGAATGGCCAGCGCGTCGCTCTGACTGCCTAATCGAGACTGAAGAGCAGAATAACCCACACACACATTACAGTGAGGAAGGAGTGTGTGAGAAATAGAAGCAGTGTGTGCATTTAGCAGATCTGACCTTGTTCTTGCTGCTCTCGCAGGACTGCAGGCTGGCCAGTATCTGGCTCTCGATGGCCTGAACCCACAGCTCTCGCTCCTCGAAGGTGGACGCCTCGAAGTGCCACATCTGACCCGTCAGAGACACAATGATGAACTCAAATGACTCCTCCGGCTCTGAAACACACACAACATCACTGAAGATGAGCTTTCTGATGCTGACAGTATTTAACAGTTTCATTTTCAAAGTGTTTCAGGGGAAATGATGCCGTGCATCATGTTAAATTATTTGATGGCTATCAATTAATGCATAATGCTTAACATTAAAATTTAATTAACATTTAAATTCGACTGAAATACAGTTTTCTGTATAAATTTATTTTATTATTTAAACATATATAAATAAATTACTGTTTATTATATATATATATATATATATATATATATATATAATATATATATATATATATATATATATATATACATACACACCTACATTCTAAGTCGATCTTTCTCTTTTGTATGTTGTAGTTCTGTATTTATAACATATAATTGTAGTGTATTGAGTGTGAGATGGGACTCCATATCAGGAATGTGTGTTGTGCTGGCAGAGAGAAAGAAGAAATGCCCGCATGCGTTTAGCGTTTTTCCTTATAGCAAACACAACAGCCATCTTGTATTGACCGTGCTGCTTTTTCAGGGCTAAATAATGTGATATCCCAATGGCAACAGAGAAATACTGTAGATTGTAATACTGTAGGGAGATATCTCTGTAGACTGATGGCATTTCATGTCATGATCAGCCTTATAATCTTAAAATGTGAGCAAAATCAGCTGGTTTGTCATCGCTTTGGACATTACGTTAGAGAATCATTCAAACTTAAGTTGCTTTGGCGTTGTAACAAGCACTACAGAAATAAATAAAAACATTTCAAACTTAAAACAGTTTTAAATGGAGTTTTTATTTGTGTATACATTATTTAACATTACTAGGATTTTTTTTTATATATGTATATGCGTCATGTTTATACATTTAATTTAATTTTTTACATTTGCTATTTTAGAATATTTAAATAAAAGTAAATAAACAAACATAATACAACAGCATTTATGGTAAATTATTTGACTATTAATTATTTATAATCTCCTGCTGTTAAGTTGTTAACATTATTCATTTTATTTTACAAAAATAATATAGCAATAATATAAATACAAAGTACTTTAATAAAGTCTTTAATTGTAATTATTAATAAATAATATCTGAAAAATGATCAACAATTTTTAAAGTCAAATTACTGAATAACTTTGATCAAATGCTTTCTTCTTTAATTTTATTTATGTTCAGCTCATTTATATTACGTTAAAGCAAGTGAAACCAGCCAATTGAACAAGAGCCAATGTCAGAAAATCAACTTTATTATATTATTTAACATTTTAATTATTATTTTTTTGTGTGTGCATATAACAAATATCTAAATAACAATGTAAAAACACAAAAAAATCTTTCAATTGTCAAAAAGCAATCTTCTGCTGTATATACGTGTGTGTGTGTGTCCTGCATTAAAAAAATAAAATAAATAATAAACAATAAAATATTTAAATGCTAAACAATTTACATACAATTAAATACAAATTTATTTGAAGTTTGTATATGAAGAATATATACATAAAATGTTAAATATTAAACAATATTAAAAATAAAATATTTTAAATAAAAAGTATGTATAAATAAAATTATATATATATATATATATATTATATATATATATATAAACACACACACACACACACACACACATACATATTTATATATATATGTATTTTTTTTTACAAAACTATATTTTGTATTTGACAATATTATAATATAAATGTAAACATAAAATTACAAATGTATCATTTTTATATGCCTAACATGTTACATTATATACACAAAAACACACAAAAAAGTGTATAAATATAATATTGCATTTATATTTGCTATAAGTTAAAATAACGTTATTACAATTAAATTAAATTCTTTACAAAACAAAAAACAAAACAAAAAAAAACAGCCTCATTTTCGAGTGAGAGCTCATCTCCACTAAACACTGTGAACAAACACAAACATTTAAACAGCCGATTCTCCGTGCGGTGCATTATGGGAATCTGCGATTAGTGTCAGTTGCTGTTGTTCATCAGCATCGTAAAAATCCAAGTGATTAAAAAGGTAAATACATCCATTAGAGCACTTATCTCATTACCAGCCAAGACTCATTATTATTGCAGCTGCCTAAATGGAATATAATGTGGGTTAATCATTGCGGTCACAGTCATTTCCAGAGCGCGGTGTGTTTTACAGCGTTCAGACGAGGCCGAGAGGTGACCAACATTCATTTCTGAAGTATGATTATTCTCAAACACACGTGAGCATGATTATACGCACTCAATCGCTGCTGCTCTTTGACAGAAAACAGGCTGTTTTGTTAGCGTTGGAATGCTCCATTTACTGACGCCCACTGTAAATGATCATTACCGCATTATTCTGCTCGTTTTGACAGGAATTAGCGTGGATTATCAAGGTCATGTGGCAACACCGTTTATTCCCTCTTCTGCTCTGTTGATACAAGCATCTCCTGCATGTCATGATATCCTGATATCATTATATTAATTATATACTGTATATATAATATTTATACACACACAGTTAAAGTAAGAATTACTTGCTGCCCTGAACTATTAGTCCCCCTGTTTATTTTTTCTCCAATTTCTGTTTAACAGAGAGCAGATTTTTTTTCAGCACATTTCTAAACATAATAGTTTTAATAACTCATCTCTAATAACTGATTTATTGTATCTTTGCCATGATGACAGTAAATAATATTTGACTAGATATTTTTCAAGACACTTCTTTACAGCTTACAGTGACATTTAAAGGCCTAACTAGGTTAATTAGTTTAACTAGGGAACTACATTTTCACTGGCATTTTTATTCATGCATTTGAAGACAGCAAGAAATGTTTGTACCATCATAAATTGTAGCATAATGATGTCGAGTGGAGCTTTAAGGCAGCAGTTAATCTTGAAAATGAAGCACAGATGAAGATCTTTTATGTCTGATCAATAATCTGCCTGTGATCTGATCTGCTGGTTGTTGGTTTTAGCGCAGCACAAAGCCTAAAGCGGACCACGATAATCCAATTAGTGAGACACAGTGCTCTTTCTACAGAGCCTCATCTGCAGGTCAGAGATCAGTTCAGTTTAAATCGAACACTACAGGCTGAAGGTCTCCACGCCTTCACTTTTACTATATTTCATGCTGAATCTGGATACACATCTACTGTAAATATGATACAGATGCACAAAAGTCTATGCACTATTCAATATATATATATATATATATATATATATATATATATATATATATATATATATATATATATATATATATATATATATACATACATATATACATACATATCTATCTATCTATCTATCTATCTATCTATCTATCTATCTATCTATCTATCTATCTATCTATCTATCTATCTATCTATCTATCTATCTATCTATATATACACATATACATACACACATATACATTGGCATTTTAATATACTTACATTTCTAAAATATATTCTATTTCTACAGATTTTCTTCATATTAAGATATTACAATTTTATATTACATTATATTATATATAGTGTTGTCATAAGATAAATCAAATCCAAAGTAAAAGCTTGTGTTTGTGTGTGTTGGTGTGTAAATATATATATATATATATATATATATATATATATATATATATATATATATATATATATATATATATATATATATATATATATATATATATAATAAAAATATATATATATATATATATAAATTTTCCTCTGGCTTAGTCCCTTATGGCCCGTTTCCACTGAGTGGTACGGTATGGTATGGTATGGTATGGTACAGTTCGGTACGCTTTTAATTCCACTGTCAAAAAGCAAACCAAAAACCAAACCAAAAAGCAAACCGTGCCTTACCACTTTTTAAGGATCCTTTCAGAATGGTACTTACATGACAAAAGGGTACCAAAAAGTAAAGCAAAAGCTGAATACTGTTGGTTTACAGAAAAACGACAATCACTCATGCACAAGCCAGGAGAATGAAAACAACGGAAGCGCCATTTTTAAGTATACAGCCGAGACATTACACTGTAATAATTTCTACATATAAAAACGAGCCATGGTTGACCTAAGCTTAAGTAAACCTTGTTGTCATCTTGATGAACAGCCACAAAGCCAAGATGTGCAGCAGGATGTTTACAAGGCTGTCTAAAAAGTATGTGGTTTACTTTCTCGAGGTTGCTCATTGCACATCTATATTTTATTTATATATTTTCACATCCAATCCTTTCTGAAACGGACAAAAGCGAGAGTGAAGCGTGAAAAAAAAAAAGGAGAAGCCCGAAAAAACAGAGTAAATGATTCTTTCAGCAACCTAAAACATTACTTTCTAACAAGAGGTTACATGTGCTGCTGAAGATGAGAGGTTTGCACTGACTGGGTTATGTTGCGTGTTGTTATTGTACCCAAATAAGGCCTACTGTAAATGTATGCTGTGTGTAGTTTTTCTGTATTTAGAAACATATCGGAGACTGTAAGGGGCTATATGTGTTCATATATGTTGCACTTATATATTTATTATATGTAATTGCAGAAGTTACAGTAGGCTATTTTGCATCATAAATTTGCAGTTTTAATCAAATCATGCTCATAGAAAGGTTAGTAATGAACTTTTATACACAAGTATTTATGAGTATAAAACATAGGAACACAGGGGAATGAATCGCCAACTATTTCTGCATATATTTTACACAGCAGATGCCTTTCCAGCAGCAACCAAGAACTGGGAATAAATAGATTTATACATATATTTTTATACATAATTAATTTATATTTTATACACAATATTTAGACACAGTGAGTAAACTGTACTGTACATACATTATGTTAATACAAACTATTTTTGGATGGAATTAATCACGATTTCTCTTTTGACTACATATATTATATTATATTATATTATATTATATTATATTATATTTTGTTTTATTATATTATGTTTTATTATATTATGTTTTATTATATTATATTATATTATATTATATTATATTATATTATATTATATTATATTATATTATATTATATTAT